GAGCCGCCGGAGCGCGGGGCCCGCAGGGCCGGAGGCAGGCGGATGCCGCGGGCACTCCGCCCGAGGGCGCTGCCGCCGGCTCCACTCACCCTCCCCGAAGACCGCCGCAGGCTGCTAAGCCGGGACGACGCCTCAAATGGGCCTCGACGCTCGCGCCCGCTCAGTCCCACAGACTTCCGGCCCTTCTGGGCGGCTTGGAGGCTCCGCCTTCTCGGTGGTTCTCAGCGGCCCGACAGGGCGCGGAAGGGGCGGGACCACAGCGAGGGGAAAGGACAAAGCCGGGGGCGGGAGAGGAGTCTGGGGGCGGAGTCCAGTGCGGGGTCGCCGGAGCCTGGGACCCCGAGGGCGAGAGTTTGGGCAAGGCGGAGCCGAAGGAAAGGAGGAAGAAACACTCACTCTGTTTTGTGGTTTTAGGGGAATAAAATTGAGTATCTATTTTTTAGACTTTTTCCTTTATTGATTTTAGAGCGAGAGGGAGAGAGGAAGGGAGGGAGGGGGAGAAACACCGGCCGTGGCTCCGCGTATTTATGCACCCATTGGTAGGATCTCGAGGGCCCTGCCGGAGATCCAGCCCGTGACCTTGGCGCACAAACGCTGGATGCTCTAACCAACTTAGCTACACAGCGGGAAAAAGTTGACTGTTTTAAAAACAAACAGCCAAACAAAACTGACCCTGCCCTACCTTGCTAGCTGTCCCTTCACAGCCTCATCGCACACCCACAGCCCTGGTCACGGCTCCCTGGCGGTTCTCAATTAGACTGGGGTCCCACGTACTTTTCTGGGAACTCCATAGACCCCCCTCACACCCCTCAGGGCATGCCTCCCAGAAGGCCCCCTCTCCACAGCTAACCGCACACCCAGCCCAAGCTGCTCCCATTCCCGGTTCCATGCCCACCCACCTCTCTGTTCTGGCCACCACGGCCAGAAGAATATACCTCAGGAACTAACCCTAAAGGTAGAACAAGATCCCTCCTACTGTACTGGACAAGCCCAACAAGCCAGCCCAATGATTACCCCCCCCCCNCCTACTGTATAGGACAAGGCCCAACAAGCCAGCCCCCTGAGTTCCCATAGGAAGAACCACCAGTCACGCTCCGGCCAAGCATAACCCCATTACTCATTATAAGACATTGTGTTTAAATCGTCCCTTTTGTGTTGCTAAAGCCCCCCCCTTGTTTCCTGTAACAAAAGCTGACAGCCTGACAAATTCTTGGAAACCCCTTTACTGCAGTGCCTTTGTGGTTACTGAGCATAAAGTGAGGGAAGACTACGGGTCGGGCCGCAGTTCGGCTCTCACTGGGTGAGACGCTGCGACCATAGCCGCTGGCCAGCTAATGAAGGCTCCAAAGTCCAAACACAAACTCTGGGGGTCGTCCGTCGCGGGTCCCCAGAACACTGCCCACAGGTTTGGGGCAGGGTGGTCTGTCCCTTCACCCAGTCCCCCCTCTTCTCTGCAGAGCGTGACCCTCCCACTCCCTCCTTCCTCCCTGGCCTTGGAACCCCCAGCTCTACTCTCCCCGTTTCCCGGCTGGCTGCTCCTCTTCCTCCGCAGGAGTCTGACATTTGCCCAGTCGGCTCATCGTAAATCTCGGTCCCGATTCTACCCACCGGTTTCCTTAAAGGGGACCACGCCAGGCCAGGGGGAGTGAGTGGGGGGGGGGCACGTGACCCTGTAGAAACCACTCAACCCCTCGGGCTTCCTCGGCCGCTCAGTGGGCGACGCCCGCCCTCCGGAGGCCTCCCTGAGGGTGGGGTGCCCCTCTGCCCTCCTGGGCCCCGCCCGCAGGAGAGCAGCCCGCGGGGCCGACCTTGGGACCGTCGGGACACCGCGGGCCCCTTCACTCCAATGCGCCTGCGTAGACGCCCCGGCGGCGGGATAGGACTACACATCCCAGCGTGCACTCTGCTCGCGGCCGCGGCTTCTGCCTGGAAGTTAAATGGCTTTCGCCCCGCCCCGGAAGATAAGGCAGCTAGCCGGCGACGCGTATCCTCTTTCCGCCGCGTTAGACGTCGGGTAAGCTGTGCTTGTGGCTCCGTGGCCTGGTGTTATCCGCCGCCATCCGCCGCCCTCTGTCCCTATCCGCCTCCCTGGGGCCCGCGAATGACCCAGGCCGGCTCCTGAGGTGACACGGGCGCACGGATGGGGACTGGGGCGCAGAGGTGGCCACGGACAGGAGGGAGGGGCCCGGGGGAAGGGGGCCCTGAAGCCGGGTGGCGGTAGTGCCTGGGCTCCCCAGGGCGCTGACGGTGAGCTTCCCCCAGACTGCCGCCATGGGCCGCGTGATCCGTGGGCAGAGGAAGGGTGCCGGCTCCGTGTTCCGCGCGCACGTGAAACACCGAAAGGGTGCCGCCCGTTTGCGCGCAGTGGACTTCGCTGAGCGGCACGGCTACATCAAAGGCATCGTGAAGGTGCGGGGCGCCGGCCGGAGTGGGTGGGGACCCGGGGCGCCCCGCCGGGAGCCCACGCTCACGCTACCTCGGCCTGCAGGACATCATCCATGACCCAGGCCGGGGCGCGCCCCTGGCTAAGGTGGTGTTCCGGGATCCGTACCGGTTTAAGAAGCGGACGGAGCTGTTCATCGCCGCCGAAGGCATCCACACCGGCCAGTTCGTGTACTGCGGCAAGAAGGGTAAGCGGCGCGCCTGCGACGGGCGGACGGGGTTGCATGCGATGCATACCCTAGGTCGGGCCGAGGAGGCATCCAGGAGGAAGCCTCACCTAGCGAGCCCTGCTGGGCCAAACGTAGCCAGTGGGTCCCCTGAGAACGGACGAACACTGTGAGGAGGGAATGGACTTGCTTGCCTCTGGCTAGCAGTCGTTGAGACACCATCTCGCCATGCTGACTGCCCCGTGATGCTCTTCCTTGCAGCTCAGCTGAACATTGGCAATGTGCTCCCGGTGGGCACCATGCCTGAGGGCACCATCGTGTGCTGTCTGGAGGAGAAGCCTGGTGATCGGGGCAAGCTGGCCCGGGCCTCTGGGAACTATGCCACAGTCATCTCCCACAACCCAGAGACCAAAAAGACCCGAGTGAAGTTGCCCTCGGGCTCCAAGAAGGTCATTTCCTCTGCCAATAGAGCTGTGGTCGGTGAGTGGCAGCCAGCAGTTGAGTGCTCTGAATTGCTTGTGAACAGCCAGCAGGTAGACCTGGGCCCTGGAACCTAACTGCCTACTTCACTAAAGTGTAGGCTCTATAAGCTTGAGCACATCCATGAGTCCTAGTATTTGAAAAGTGAGCATTGTAGTACCTACTCGACTTCAGGGTGGGAGTTGAAGGAGACTGTGCTTAACCGACTGGGATTTGTCTGTATTCTCACATAACTGAACTTGTGTGATTTCTGCCTTTACCTTCACCTGTTAACAACCTATTCAGAGATGTGTGATTTCCTTAAAATCACCCAGTAAGTGCATTTAAAAGGATTTGGACCCAGGTTTGTTCATTGCTGTTTGGCAACACTTTCAATACTGTGGCAAACCCAGACATGCATGGGGGGGGGTGCTCTTGGGGGTATGGTTCACAGAATGAGCAGAACTGGCTGATAGTGGCATGGTGGGTCAGCTGTCATGTTGGGGTTAGGGTTTGAAGGTTGAGTAACCTGCTCAGTGTCAGACATGATGAAGGGGGAGGGCTTCCTTGGAGAACCCTGGATTGAAGTAGGCATTCCAGATGATGTGGACAAATGGCCTGGCTTGGCCACCCTGTGGAGCCTGAAGGAACTTGCTGTCAGTTGACATACAAAGGGGCTTACTGCTGGGTGGTAGTTGCCAAGTGGTACTGGGGCTTTTGTGAACTTTGTGATGCGATATGAAAGGACAGAGAGAAGGTGATTGATGCAGGAGTTGGGGTACTGACAATCGCCTGATGGGATATTCTGCCTGATATCCTCAATAGGTGTGGTGGCGGGAGGTGGCCGCATTGACAAGCCCATCCTGAAGGCTGGCCGTGCCTACCACAAGTATAAAGCAAAGCGGAACTGCTGGCCACGTGTGAGGGGTGTGGCCATGAACGTGAGTAGCCCAGAAATGAGCAGTGGGGGGGTTATTCAGGATATAGGGACAGACTGGAATGTCCCCTGGCCTGTGGTAGGGGATTTGATTTGAACATCTGGGCGATAGTTCATAGTCACAGGCCTGTTGATTCTGCCCCTCCCTAAGCCCTCCTTAGATAGTTTGGGACCACCCCCACATTAACACCATCTTTTTTTTGCCTGCAGCCTGTGGAGCATCCATTTGGAGGTGGCAACCACCAGCACATCGGCAAACCCTCCACCATCCGCAGAGATGCCCCGGCTGGCCGCAAAGTGGGTCTCATTGCTGCTCGCCGGACTGGGCGTCTACGGGGAACCAAGACAGTGCAGGAAAAAGAGAACTAGGGTTGGGGGCTCAATAAACTTTGTTCTGCCACTAACCTGTTCCCAGCTGTGGTTTCAGAGGGAAGGGTCCTGCTGGGAGGACCAGTGAGCAGAGGCAGCTCAGGAGAAGATGGGGGGGGGGCTTGTTCCCATCACACCTTGGTTCC